GCCCCCAAAATAGGCCCAACTCTGCGTTTGACTCGTTCAAAGCATAAACTAAATGGTTTCAAAACCGTTTTCCCCATGATTTGGGGAGCTGTTTAATGGGGCGGTTACACATCATTCAGCCCTACTTAGGAGCGAATTAAGGGGGTAGTTATACCTCTTAATCCCCTATAAATAGCGGGAAACTCAATTGAGTTCGGGCTCAGTTTTTGGCTCTTGGCGATTGATCTCTTTTGAGCCTTGGCCTTGGTAGCAAAGAGGAGGTATTTGGCTGGCTTTTTTTTGGTGAATTACTGGAGCTTTGGAGATCAACAACAGGAGATTTTTTCATCCTTGGCTTATAAATCGAATTCGGTTAAATCAACTCTTTCATAGAGTTTCAAACTCGTTCAGAGTTATCAACTCGTCCAGAGTTCTAAAACTTGCTTTGCAAGTTCTCCATAACGTCAAATTGTGAGGAGAAGATATCGTTCCAGTGAATCAAGACGTGCGGATCGTCAACGGAGAGCAAATTTGATACGATCATTCGAATGAGGCACTCCATCGCCACCGTGAAGAACCTAGTTTTAAACAAAGGGGAGAATTCAGATCAATTCTCTTCTCTTTTGTAATCAGGAAATCTAAATTGTAATAAAGATTGAGAGAATAAAACGTTCAATTCTTTCATTGTCTTTCTATAAATTTTCCACCAAACAAAAGAGGGAGCGAGATCTAAAGTAGATGAAGGTTGAATAGTAACTTCATTTGTTTTTTCCTTAGGCACTGATTTGACCTTTAGCATCCAAACCCGTTTATACTTGAGCGATTTCTTAACCGCCTCTTCTTGCTGTATTTCTTGTGCTTTTCGCACAAGTATCTGGACGTGCATAAGAAATACGCGGTGCTTCTGAATGCGCTCCTCTAGAGTGGAACGGTTCTGTTTGACACGAATCTATTCGTTAGTAGGTGATTTGGAGAAGAATCTCGAAGCTTACTATGGTGATGGTTTAGCCACTTGGTGTTTCCTGGACTTCAGATCTGCTTGGTAGCAGAGCCCATCCACTTGCTCCAAAGTCTTAGCAAATTGGCGAGCGAGACGTTAGCGGCGTCTCTGACAATCTCTCTTCGATAAAGTTGGCACACCTTTAGTAGTCAACTCCTTAATGGAGGCGATGTTTGTATATGCGGCTTCGGCTTCATTGGACACCGGCGGATGGTTACGAGGTACAACTGTAGTAGCGGTAGCGGGGAGATCACATTTTTGGGTCTTCAAATCTGAAGACCAGCGAATCTTCCAGGAGGAGAAGACCTTCCTACACTTGCGAGGAGAGGTGGATCTAGAGGAGGAGGAGGAGACATACTCTTCAAACTTCTATTGGTCAAACTCGTATTCGACCTCTTCAGCCACGGGGATCTTGATCAATGTCTGCAGTACGACAGTCTCGACGGCGAGGCTGTTGGCTCCCACTGTGGTCACTAGCTTGTTAGGTGTAAAATTTTGTTTTTTCATTGAGGTATTCATTACTACTTCAGTCGTTACAATAAAAACCAAAAGATAGTCTTTTTATAAGACTCTTACACAATGAAAACGAAAAATTATAACTCTCGTCAAAACAAACACAACGGACGTTTATCACCCGCTATTTGCGTGAGATCTTTGCCAATGCCGGGGTTTATCCATGAACCACCGACCGATCAGATCAAAGTGCAGATTTCGTTGACTCGTGAAGGAGTCAAGAAACTGAAGCAATTATCTCGGCAACAGCGAGATAATCACTTTTCTCGAGATCACAACAACGGTGTGATCTCAAGAGAAGAACTGGGCTGCAGATCTGTTGAACTCTCCTTCTTTATGCCGAAGAATTTGATGAGATCTCCTCCTCCTCTATGAAATTTGTGGCTCTTCAGTCTCCAATTCAACAGGGCTTCGCCAAGGCTCGAGAATTTCAGACATGTACAAATGAAGGCCCTAGGGCTGTATATATTTATAAGCTTCGGGAGCTTTGTTTTCAAATAAGAACGACCGATTCACTCTTATCCTCAGTTATAACCACTTTATCACATTCTAGGATAACATTAGATCAGTTGGAACAAATCCAGACGGTTAACGGTCGAAAACGGTTCAAAATAGCATTTTTAGGCCTGCGGACACCCGCAGTGTCTCTGCCATGGCCGAGACACTTGAAGTGTCTTAGCCTTGGCCGAGACACTCACAGTGTCTCCGCCAAGTCCTGGGCACCGTTCAGGCACGCCCCGATCAGAATCGTTGTATCTTTGTTGTCCGAACTTGGAATTACGTGATTCAAAGTGCGTAGGAAAGCCGACGAAAAGATCTACAAGCTCCCATGGTTGAATCATACATGAAGTGGATTAAACACGAGGGGTGTTTCGTCTTTCGTAAGCGAAGCGTAACTCCCGATCAGTTCGTATCTTCGTTATTCTAAGTTCTGTTGCTTCATACGGTTCGTCGATTCACTTTATGCTCTTGTCGACGTCAAATAATCTTCTGTGACTCGGATAGTGACGTTCACCATCTTCTCTGTCTCGAACCACGTGCGGGAATCCGTGGGTAATTTTTGATGCCTACTAAACCTATTTAGGTTTTTTAACACATAAGCCCTTGTAAAAACCTCAATTTTCATAACTAAAAGACAGAGATTCCTTTAAACTAATAAATGAAAAGGAAACTATTCATCTCTTATTATTGAAAAATTAATTACGGAATTATTTTTACTGTCTCTGCGACACGGGGTGTTACAGCATCATAACCATCAACCTNATAGTAGGCGTAATTTGTTTCCTACTCAGCATTAATTATTTCATTATTTTGGGATTTCATTATAACTTTTTCACTTCAATTAGTACCTTTAAAACTTTTTTAAAGAAAATTATTCTTGAGAAATTAAGTATTCTTTTTCCAATTATTTAGAGAAAGCCACTCCTTCAATGAAGTTAAGTTGGCTGGTAATTCACTTATACATTAGACTATTTATTTTACTATTTTTTGGTAGCAGAAAAGATTCAAATTTTTATTTATAATAGACTTTACTTGTTTCCTGCTTAGTATTAATTATTTCATTATCTATAACTTCCAATTGTTTTCACTTCAATTTGGAACATTTTTAAAGAAAATTATTCTCTAAAAATTAAGTATTCTTTTTCTAGTTATTTGGAGAAAGCCACTCCTTCACTGAAGTTAAATTGGCCGGTAATTTCACTTTTACCATACATTAAACAACTTTTGGCTTATCAGTTAACACAGAGAATTAATAGGGGATCCCTTGTTTATTTCACCCCACCCACCAAAAAAGACCTAGACCATACTTTCGGGGCTGTTTGGTTGGCTTTTTTTGTTTTGGTTTCCCTATCAAAACTGACAAAACTGTCAGTTTTGACAGCTTTACTTGCAAAAACGTTCATTTTGGGGCGTTTTTGCAAGTAAAGCTATCAAAACTGATAGCTTTTGTCAGTTTTGACAGGGAAACAATGGCAAAAAATGCCAACCAAACAGCCCCTTCCTCCTCTCTATCATTACCCACTTTCCCACTTCCCTCCCATACTAAGTATCTTGAAAGACTCTACATCGTTACCACTCATTACATGAGTGCTCCATTTGCTTTCTATTTAGAATCATTCTAATGGGACCCCCTCCTAATTCTATCACTAGCACCAACATGTACCATGAATATCCTTCTCAATGTAAATACCCTCTAATTAAATACTGGGAAACTAGACAATAAGAAATCCGTAATTGAAAGATGGCGAAGCGCAATATGTGTAAGATACACTTAGAATTTTTTTTTTTTCTTCAGACCACCAATTGTCCACTAAATGCAATAACACTGAATAGCTTTTATAAATAGGACCATATTCATCTTTCAGCCAGAACCTTCTCAACTGAAATAAATAATTTTTTTTTAAACTTTTAATGAATGATTAGTATCATGATCCCGCATCTTACACTGTGGATATCTGCTTGATAAGACTGCCATGTTCAAAAGATGAACCTCACCCAACCGTCCCTCGCATCTGCTACTCCTAAAGCTGCAGGAGTGTCTCACAAATCATGAGTACTTTTCTCAACACTTCAACAAACAAACAGTAAAGTCTTTTGTAAGATATTGTTTCTTCGAAAAGTGTTATTTTAGAACAGGTCTTTCATATATTGGCATTATGACATAAATCTTTAAAAATCTTTAATTTGCACTAGATATATTAATAACGTCATTATTCGTCATTGTTTTCTGTTAGAGTCTACCCTGATCATGTTAACTATTTGTTAGAATATAAAAATGTAAACACTCGACCCTCATCATAACTTTAGAGTTGTGGTGTCGTGAGCAACTAGCCCCCAAGTTCAGATTCTACTAGATACTTTATGGAGTTATCAGATCAACCCAAGTTCAAATTAATGTCACCTGCAACAAACTTATAGCGAATTTTCGAATGATTGACACTGTTGAATGAGTACAGGTGCTGGCCCACAAAAAGGCACTCAGCATGTAGAGGCATGTTAAAATATAAAAATGTAATTATCATCACAACTTCAGAGCTATAGTGCAGTGGCTGGGACTTTAAAGACTATCTGTGTAATTAACTCTACTAAAGTTAACGCTGGTTTCTCTCTTATCTCTCTCTCCCATGCACACAGGAGCAACAGCGGTGGCCTACTGCCGCATGCGCAGGCAGCGTCCATGGATGCAATGATACTATGGCCAACAGTGACCACTGACTGGTGGCCGGTAAAACTAGCGGTTACAAGGACATAATGGTAATAACAAATGAGTGTGTAACTAATTATAATAAATTTTAGGGTTAATTGCGGATAAACCTTTCTGCTTCTCATGCTGCAGATGAACCACCTTTGGGGTGGTGGGGGGTGGGGATTGCTTATTGACAAGTTGGCCCTGAGAATAGTATTAACAAATGAGCATTAATATTCTGAGGGATCCATTTCAAAATAATCATATGCTGAGCACCCATATCTAAAAACACACACTATATATAAACAACCAATATCCTCCTCTCTCTCTCTCGCTCTCTCTCCACAACGAAATACCTCACTTTCTTAATTTAATTAAACCCTCAAAATGTCTCTCCCCACAGAAACCTCACCAAAACACTGCGCGAACAAAGGCTTCCACCTAAAATCCCTCCGCCTCAACAAAAAACTCCTCTACACCCTCATCCCCACCCTCCTCCTCGTCCTCCTCCTCCTCTACTTCATCCGCCACCCTTCGAAACCCCAGTTCTACCTCCAGTCCACCACCATCTCCAACCTCTCCCTCTCCTCCCCCCTCCTCCTCCTCCTCAACTCCACCGTCCAAGCCACCCTCCTCTCCAAAAACCCCAACAAGAACTTCGGCGTCTACTACGACGACGTCCGAGCTTACGCTATCTACAAAGGCCAGCAAATAACCGGAGACTGTTTTTTGCCTTCGTTCTATCAGGAGCACGAAGAGCTGAACGTCTTGTCGGCGTCGATGTTTGGAACTGGCATGCCGGTTGCTGCGTCGGTCGGGTTCGAGCTTGGCCGGGATCAGGTTGCAGGTAGGTTTGTTCTGTCGGTGCGGGTGGATGGGTTGCTGAGGTGGCGGGTGGGCGGGTGGACGTCGGGGAAGTATCGGTTCGATGTTGATTGTTTGGCGGTTGTTGGGCTCAGGCAAGGGGTGATGGGGTCGGTGCAGGGGTCGTCGGCGTGCTCGACTAATGTTTAATTGAGTTTGGATTTAGTTCTTTTTTTTTTTTTTCTGGTAAGTATGAATCGATCGTTTATTATTAATGTTATTTATTAATTAATGGATCGCAATTATGTTTAAGTCTTGTCAGTTTGGAGAATTGAGGATGTAAATTAGTTTTGAGTGATTGAGGAATATTTATGGTGGTGAGGATTTATTATGATGGATTGTTAATTAGAGATTAGTGATAATTAGCTTTAGTGTTAGCTTGGCTAGGATTTTGTCATGTACATGCGTAGTGTTAACTTGTGTGCTAATATGTTGGTGGGATTTGGTGCGTGTCTCTTGTAAACTTTTATATTATTCTAATAATTAATGTTACCTGCTATTATCACTACTACTACTGTTATTATCATCATCATTATTATTTTTGGAGGTGAAGATAGGAAGAGGATTGATGTTGCTTTTGCAAAAGGACGGATAAAAAGGATGGGGATTGGGATATTCTGAAATTGGAATCATTTATGGTAGCCCCATCCTTAATTTCTTACACACTTTTACGGGGAAAATCCAATTTTCATTATTCTAGTATCAAATTCAGTTCAGGTTGGATTCTTTTTTATATTGATGCTGATTGAATTTGGGTCTGAGATATAATTCTCCAGATATAAGAATTGCTACTTTTTAAATACTTGTATCAGTACTGTTTCTAGGAAACTGAAAAATAAAAAATAAAAAATAAAAAAATACTTGTATGAGGAACTAAGTCATGTTTGATGAACGGTTGATGTTTCCTCCTTAATTCTTTTTGTAATCCAAAAATAGACAATTAATTCTATACCATCAAACATTCCACGAACAACATAAATTGAATTGTTTCAAATTAATTAATATAATTTATGGTCCTCTCTTGTGTGCACGAGACGCCTCATGATTGAAGTGGGACCACCTTCCCTGAGATTTGACTGCTGAATCAGCGGAGAGTAATGATAACGATACACACGCGGGG